AGCACTTACTAAAATTCATAACGATTCTCACCCAATCCCCCAATCAACAAGTAGCACGCATTAACACAAGCAATCCAAGCAAAGAACATTCACAAGTTCCACAACAAAACCAAGATCTAAATGAATGCAAGCAATCCATTTCCATTCCGTTTAGGCCTTGCGGTCCCGTCAGTCGTCTCAGTCCTCACACGAAATTGTAGACACAAAGTCTAAAAAAAACAGAGTTCCTTCTTGGAACTCCAATTACAAACGTTTTGTACCAGATCGAGTTGCGATTTGCTTTGATATACCCATGGCACATACAGGGTCGACCCAGAAAGTATTTTTCGACCTATACTCCATTTTACTCAATAGAATTATATTTTTCTAGGATCAAAATTCATCTCAAGACTTCCTTAATCATATCTAATGCTTGGAAATTTCATAGTCTCTTCGGCCGTCTCGACTAACCTGCGACCGACTCAAAGTCTTGCGGTCAACTCGATTTAAGCCCATTGCACATTGGTCCAGATGGTTCCCTTGGTCAATCTTATGGAGTTTTCACTCACTTGATAGTCAATCTACATTGCCGGCCCAGTTTAGATCATGGCCGATCAAGCCATTCCATTGACATAATATTTTTCTAAGTCTTTTAGGGACGTTCCAAAGCTTCCAAAGCAACCATTCGGGCCATCCTTAGCCCTTATCAGAGTTACAACATTATCTCCCTCTTAAAAGAATTCATCCTGAATTCTCCCTTAGTACTTCTCAACCTAACCTGACTTCTGTTCATAAGCTCTGAGTTGTCTTTTCCTTTACTCGACGTGACTCCCTATCCGTTCTGGTGGAATGTGGTTGACTCAGATAGTTTCCTACTACCTTGTTCACTCAATACCTTTTGATAGCAAGGATCACTTTTTGCTCATTTCCCCTTCCTGGTCACTTGTTCTGTCTACGGTCACACTATTATCTTGTCTGATTCCTTGCTTAAATTCTAGTTGGAATCCTTTTCTAAGTGCGATGAGGATTTCCCTTCCTCTACATCAGGCTCTTTTCTCGAATGACGTTATCTTTAAAAGCATAATGTCATTCCACCTTGAATCTTTCCATGGTTAACCGTTCCTTTGGCCGGCTAGAGATTTGCGCACATCCTTCGTTTTCTAGTGAAACTCTTTTTACGTTCCGAAATTCCTATCTTTTCACTTAGTCAAAACATCTCGAACCTCTGTTGGTCTTGTTTTCAAAAATCTTTGAGCATGCGGTTCAACTTGATCTCATTTCAATATTGTTCTCATTCCGTTCTTTTTTAAGTAATTTTCATCGTCGTTGGATTTCCTTCCCCAAATTGATTTAGGGCTAATTAGGTTCTCAACCTTATTCCTTCGTTTTTACACTTGATCATGTATTCGCCTCCAACGTTATTCTCATAAAGTTTTCCCTTTAATCTTTGTGGATTGCTCCATGGCTTCGACCACTTCCTTGGCCAAATGGAACCTTACTCGTTTCTTGGCGTTCTCAATATACCTTCCACGTTCGTTCATTTAACCGGTCTGCTTTGAAACTCTACAGATTTTATTCTTTAATACTAAGTATGAGATAAACCCAACTCTTACTCCAACGATTGTCGTTCTTCCTTATTATAAGTCTGGTTTCCATCCAAACGTATGCTCAAAATGACTAAGTTTTCAATCTTCTCAACCCTTACAAATTTTTCTTC